CACCTGTGTTTTACAGAGAGTTCATATCTCCCTGCTGTAATCAAACCACTTCTTACTATTAAACAGAGATCAATTTCAAATCTAACGCTTCAAATAAATAAATAAATAAATAAATAAATGGATGAGTCTTTATTTAACTTAGTCATTTTCTGACAGGTAGTAAATACCTGGAGCTCCTTCAGTCTGGGTTCAGGCCTTTTCCCAGTAGACTGAAATCCTCCAGCTGCATCTTGTTGAGCTCATTATGAGGCTTCTGCTTCAAAGACAGGGAAGTGAAAAAGCAACTTATTTTCACCATTTAACCTTATTAATCTGCTGTTTGTAGAATTATTACAATAAAAACCTTCTGCTGCTGCTGGTAAAGGAMATTTCTTCTTTCAGATTTTCATTTGGAATGTTTCTGAAAGCTCTGCTGTTGTTCTTTATGACCTGATGCAAACACATTCAAATCCTTGTTTTCTCTAATAGTTTAAACTTTGCTTGAAATCTTTTGAAGCATTTTATTTTACTGTGTTGAAGCCACATTGTTGGATTTCTGACTCAGATCTCACGTTCACCAGAGAGAAAACAAAATGTACAGAAAGTGTCTCACAGATTGATGCAGGTAGTTTAACATGCACAGAACTCACTTTGTGTTTCTGGGTTTTTTCTGAAGCAGCAGTTTAACTTCGTCAGTTCAAACTCTCAGGTTGTGACTGAGAGCTGAGCTGCTGGGTTTTCAGAGTTCTGGACTCCAGATGGTTGTGAAGTGGAACCAGAAAAGGTGCAGCTGAGTTCTCCTGTTTCGTTCACACTTCAGGGCAACAGGATCCAGACAGCTGAGAGGGTTCAACAGTTTTACAGTGTGACCTTCTCATCAGATCATCCTGAACTGTGAACCTGGGTGTTGTTGCCCTTTGACCCCGGCTCTCAGTCTGTTCAGTGACAACAATAAGCTGGTAGTGCTCACAACAAACAAAAAAATCATCAACATTTGTTAATAATTCTGACACAATTAGTTATATTAGTACAATTGTTTTAGGTCTGTTAATGTTTTATATCAAATATGGTAAAAGTCTTAGTTTGTTAGTGGATTATTTGTTTGTTTGTTTGTTTGTTTGTTTGTTTTTAGTAGAACAATCAAATCATTTATTAAAGTGTCTTTCATATCAACAAGGATTTTGTTTGGTTGTTATTTTATAACCTTTCAGACATAAATGTTTATCATAACTAACTTTTTACAGAATTTAGTGTTTGGACAAAATGATGAAAAACTTTAATTTGACTTGAAAAAATAACTGTTTTCTTATTAACATTTTTTTATCATGTGACATAAATCCATTTATTCCTTTCAGARATGCCACACTTTCCAAGATAGAGATGGTTAAACTTTTATATTTGAACAAGGTGGGCTGCAGCGGGGGCAGAAACATGGTGGAAGTCACCAGGTTCTTCAGGGACTTTTTATTTTACAGTGAGCTGTGAAAGTCTGGGCAGCCTTGTTAACTTTCCTGATTTACCTAAATCATTGTTTGGATAAAAACATCAGTTAAATATATCATAYAGAGGACAAACACAGTGATATTTGAGAAGTGAAATGAAGTTTATATGATTTACAGAAAGTGTGCAATAATTGGTTAAACTAAATTAGGCAGGTGCATTAATTTGGGCACTGTTGTTATTTTATTGATTTCAAACCTTTAGAACTAATTATTGGAACTTAAATTAGGTTTGTTAAGTCCAGTGACCCTTGACCTCCACACACAGGTGACTCCAGTTATGAGAAAGGGTATTTAAGGGGGTAATTATGAGTTTTTCTCTTCTTTCATCTTCTCTGAAGAGTGGCATCATGGGAGTCTGAAAACAAAGCTTGTTCAGCGTCATGGTTCAGAGGAAGGMCACCGTGTCTGAACACTGAACATGACAGAACACCTGCAGACTCTGCTTGTAGCTGATTATTCATTTTGTATTTCAATCATCAAACAGTGTGGCTTCAGTCTAAACCAAAAGCAACACAACTGTGATTATTTTGATCTTGATAATACTGATTGTGCGTCACAGATTGAGTCACCTGATGTGTTTCCACTGTACATGTGATTTATTTAACAGGCCGTACACAAATTTTTATTATAAAGTGTTGATTTATAATGTTTTCTTCACAGAGCACTTGGCTGTCAGACTGCAGGTTTACTTGTGGTTCCTGGAGGTTTTAAAAGTAGAATGGGAGGCGGAGCTGTAGCAGTCTGTTTTTAGGCTTACCTGCTTTTCCCAAGGGGGTGTCGTCCTTATGGGCCTGCAGCCCTGATTGGTCCACAGCTGCAGCTGATGATCCTGTGGTTATTTAAGGCTGTTCAGAAGGTCAGGGCCTCATGTAGAAACGGTGTGTGTGCTCCAGGCTCTACACACACATTGGGATGTATTAAAACCAACGTTGTGTGAAAGTGTGTGCATATTTGCACACACTTTTCACCTGCTGTGAGAATGTGCAGCAGACACACAAWGTTTTTCAGTCGACAGTTTTAACTCACAAAGTCATGAATCTGAGCTGAATCCACAGAAATATGAGTCTGTTGTGTTTCTGGATGTAAGGAGCGTCTGAACACAGTGTTAGNACACAGGTGACTCCAGTTATGAGAAAGGGTATTTAAGGGGGTAATTATGAGTTTTTCTCTTCTTTCATCTTCTCTGAAGAGTGGCATCATGGGAGTCTGAAAACAAAGCTTGTTCAGCGTCATGGTTCAGAGGAAGGMCACCGTGTCTGAACACTGAACATGACAGAACACCTGCAGACTCTGCTTGTAGCTGATTATTCATTTTGTATTTCAATCATCAAACAGTGTGGCTTCAGTCTAAACCAAAAGCAACACAACTGTGATTATTTTGATCTTGATAATACTGATTGTGCGTCACAGATTGAGTCACCTGATGTGTTTCCACTGTACATGTGATTTATTTAACAGGCCGTACACAAATTTTTATTATAAAGTGTTGATTTATAATGTTTTCTTCACAGAGCACTTGGCTGTCAGACTGCAGGTTTACTTGTGGTTCCTGGAGGTTTTAAAAGTAGAATGGGAGGCGGAGCTGTAGCAGTCTGTTTTTAGGCTTACCTGCTTTTCCCAAGGGGGTGTCGTCCTTATGGGCCTGCAGCCCTGATTGGTCCACAGCTGCAGCTGATGATCCTGTGGTTATTTAAGGCTGTTCAGAAGGTCAGGGCCTCATGTAGAAACGGTGTGTGTGCTCCAGGCTCTACACACACATTGGGATGTATTAAAACCAACGTTGTGTGAAAGTGTGTGCATATTTGCACACACTTTTCACCTGCTGTGAGAATGTGCAGCAGACACACAAWGTTTTTCAGTCGACAGTTTTAACTCACAAAGTCATGAATCTGAGCTGAATCCACAGAAATATGAGTCTGTTGTGTTTCTGGATGTAAGGAGCGTCTGAACACAGTGTTAGATTTTTATTTGAGTTTTTATTGTTTAAACTGAACCATGATGAAACTGAAAATCATTTAACCTCAGACAAGAAAACAGATCAGTCTGAAACTGATCAGAGACCCTCAGTCCAGTCTGTAAACTGGTTATATTGTTGTCATGTAGTTGGAAACACACACAGAGTGCAGGCCTGTGGAGAACACACAGCTGAGGAACTGTCTAAGAAACATTTTAATTCTCACTGAGAAAAAAACTGTCGACTCAGCAGATTAACTCAGAACAGCTCAGCTGTGATGGTTCCTCTGCTCCACAACATGCACACGTTGGCTGTGTCCAAAACGACAGGCCGGGTCCTCCGGAGGACCCAGACTCCCCGGTCTCGG